TAATCCAAGATATGTTCCCTGTATGCTTATTAGCAGTCTTAATTACATCTGTAACCTTAGTTCCCCTTTACCATGTAACATTACATATTCACAGGATCCAGGAATTAGGATATAGACATATGCGGGGAGGGGAGGCATATTTTGGGAAGGGGTATATTTTGGGAGGGGGTGGATTATTCCGCCCACTACAGTCATCTATGAAAAAACAGCTAGTTCAGCTTATAACCTCAGTTGAACAAATGACTTTCCTTGAGTTATCTGTTATACCTCAATAGGCAACAGCTGCTTTATATGTATTCCCCATTTTCTCACATGGGAAATATTTAAAAACATGTACTTAAATGTCTAGATTTAAGAAAAATTAACATTTTATTGCTTTATCAAGGACATTCTTAACTGGATTTTTATTTGGAGTGGGTGTGAGTGTACGGCAGTGAGAAAGAATACAATGAGTGCAGGTATGGTTTGGTGCTGCTGCTTTGATTCATGCTAAGAGGCCACCAGTTTGACTTGCCGTCACTGCAAATGTCTGTGGAAAAGTCAAATAGCCTCTTAATATTATTAGGAAGATAGTTTTGACATCATGGACCCCCTTCAGAGAGTTGATGGTCCACACTTTGAGAAATGTCGCATGATTAAATACCTCATAGTGACTATTTTAAATTTCTAGATTAAATCAGAAGATGTTAAAGGTTATATAAGAATGTAAGAACTGGGTTGTTCTCGTGGTCTGTGCTACCCCAGTGGCTTTCCTATAGCCACGACCCCAGGGAAGATGGGGTGAAAATGTGAGCTGTCTTAAGAGGTCTCTGAGTACCTGGTTATTCAAATCTGTTTCTGTTGGTAGAGGGCTCTGGCTTTCCAGGAGCTCAGAGCTGGGTAAGTCAGATTGCACTGTCTGTTTCCTTGATTCTGTGTTAGAGTGCCTACTTTATGAGAGAAAGAGCAAATTTATGAGAGCCCACCTCACTTTTGGTAGATGGTGAAAGATACTTCACTTTGTTGTGATTCAAGATCTTCATCTCGAACACAGCTTTTGTCCTGTTGGACTGACCATCACCACTTTTTATAAATGCAAACATTTGTTGAGTGCCCAAACACTTCATCAGTGTTTCCTATGAACAGTTTATATGCAAGCATGGAATTATAGCAGCGTTATTAAATGATCCAGAGATTGTTCAAAGCAAAATCCTAGACATTTGTTGAGTGCCCAAACACTTCATCAGTGTTTCCTATGAACAGTTTATATGCAAGCATCGAATTATAGCAGCGTTATTAAATGATCCAGAGATTGTTCAAAGCAAAATCCTAGACTGTGGATAAATCCAATCTGTTCCCAAGAAGGTTTTTGGTGTCATCATAACTTTATTTTGAGCATCACATTAAAGTATTGTATATTCATATGCATAAACCCATACAGATATGTTTGTTTCTCAAAGAAAAAAAAAAATACTGTTTTATAAACCTTATAAGAATCCAAAATCTCCAAACCATAGCTTCAACTCCCTTTATATTTGCTCCTTCTCTTGGAAAGTTCCTTATTACATTACATAACTCCTCCTTAACAACTTCTCATTCTGTCAGGGACACAGTTACTAAGGATTCTAGGAGCCTGAGTTCAGAGAATGCTACCTACCTTTGATTTAATTGGAGTAGATATCAAAGATACACTTGTATTGTCCCCTTAAAGGATAGAGTAGTTGACATTTGGAACAGTTTCTAACCAGCGAAGATCTGACATTCTAACGAATTTCCTAATCCTCTTAAAGGAGCGTTCATTTCACATCCGGCAAAACAAGTTTGTTCTGTCTGCAGGTGGAACTCGCTAGAGTATGAGAAATCAGTCAAAAGAAGGGGCACATTGTCTCATTGTCCTTAGATTCTGCTCGCCCAGTGCTTTGTTTCCTTACTTTTCTTTCCACAGTGAACTCTTTTTTATATATCACTGAATCCTTTTGAATGTTCACAGTGAGATCTTAATCCTTTATCTAAGAAGTTTTAAAAAGGCACCCACAAATCCAGTGTCACTGCAGTGCTTTTCATTGATCAGGGTGACTTTTGTTTTACATTGTTGCATGTGAAGCCTGATCTGGGAGTCACAGCCAGACAACATATAACTCAAAGCCCCTTCCTTTCTCCAGATTGCTTTACCTCTCTGATAGTTCTCCCCAGAGGGAGAGAGTCAGATAGTGGTCAGTCCTGGGCTCCGGCTGTGTTAAGGACTTCTTTTGTAGTAGACTTAGAGCCTACCACTACCTTTCTATTTGTTGCGACCTAATAGGGTACTCAGCTTAGTTGTAAAGCCAAGATGAGATCTTTACCTGTGGGAGTTCCCCTTTAAGCATTCACCACATTCAGAAATTAGAAGCAGGCCAGCTAAGAAAGATGTTAAATGTCAGTAGTGTGCAGCAAGTTTTACCTGAATTTTTTTGTTTTGTTTTTCCCAGGTGTGGTATATGACAAAAGAAAAACTTTAGACAAGTTAAGTTTAGCAAAGTTTGAGAAAAAAAAAGATTCACAAATTGGGCAGGCCCTAGAACCAGAACAGATTCAGAGGGACTCTGCAGCTACCAGGTGGTCAGTTGAGATTTATAGAAAAGGGAAAGTGACATACAGAAACAGCTGGATTGGTCACAGCTTGGCATTTGCCGTACGTGAACACCATTTGAACAGTAAGCCACCTGTGAGTGGTTGAAGTATGACTGCTGTCTTGGGCTGAGACTCAGCTATTGTGATGGAAGTACACTTCTAAGTTAGGTTGCAGTTCAGGTTCGTATGTAAGAACTCAAGGATGCGTGTACAGAGGCTTTCTCTGGCCAGATTTTAGTTTGATTTAACATATACAAAAATGAACTAAGTCCACAATGTGCTCTTGTTCATAATTAAAATGAAGTAGCAATAATGTCAGGGTGTATGTTATTTTTTAAGTATTTCAATATCAGTACTTCCAGGTATTTGTAAGTTTCAGACTCATCTCTTTACCTTCCACCCACCAGCGTAGGAAGAGTAAAGCAGGATCAGTTCTATGCAATTATGGAACTCCCAGGGAGCTTTTGTGTCTGAGGGTCAAGTAAAGACTGTTGAGCTTCTTTGTCAACTAGGCAGGGTATATTGGAAGGGCGGAGGAAGGCAAGCAAAGGTTCTCCCCTATGACATTTTCTGTGTTACCACTCTTCTGAACCATTTGGTTTGGAAAGTTGAAAAAGGTAGTTGAGGTTCATAGTCCCTCACTGTGAAATAGCAGGGACTGGATATGTTTTAGAATTCAGAAAATTTCAGGTTTTAGGAGAGTAAGAAAATGCATGTACTATATGGTAGTATTCCCAGTGGGATCTGGGCCAGTACCCCACAATCAAACGCTCTTCTGAACCATTTGGTTTGGAAAGTTGAAAAAGGTAGTTGAGGTTCATAGTCCCTCACTGTAAAATAGCAGGGACTGGATATGTTTTAGAATTCAGAAAATTTCAGGTTTTAGGAGAATAAGAAAATAGATGTACTATATGGTAGTATTCCCAGTGGGATCTGGGCCAGTACCCCACAATCAAACGCATAAATATTTGTGCAGGAGAAAATATGAGTATTGACACAAAGGAATAAATTTAAAGTGCCAGTGTTAACCCCATATCAGGTTTTGCTGCCAAATGTGTTTGCTCGAATCTGGTTTTTACCTTTCAACTTCAGAATTGCAAGTAGGGGTTGTGGACATATGCTACAGTGATAGAAATAGAGCAAGACAAGCCTGGTTGAGTCTGGTGATGTTTAATGGAGCCATATCACAGGTCCGACAATGAGATCTTGTGTCTCTCCCTGCTGGGCTTGTTACCTTCTCTTCCGTTCTCTGGCCTTCACTTTGCTTCTCTGTCAAACGGGTAGTAATATTTGCCTTATGGGCTGTTGTGAGGATAACAAGTTAATGTAAAACACTGAACAAACTGAAATACAGTAAGTATTCAATAAATCTTAGCTATTAAAATTTTATCTCTTCTCTTCCCCCTTTCCTTTTATTAGATGAAAATTTACTGATGTGGTGGTTGCGATGCCACTCTGGAAATAGGATTAAGTGATGAGAATTGTCCTGATGTCACTGGAGAACTAAAAGTTTTACATTGAAAACATTTCTTTCATTTCTTTTTTTTTTTGTGGGGGGGGGGCAGCTGGCTGGTACAGGGATTGAACCCCGGACCCCTGGACCTTGGTGTTATCAGCACCACACTCTAACCGAGTCACCAGCTAGCCCCCTTGAAAACTCATTTCTTGTTAAATGACCAGTACCACTTTAAAATTTCTTTGCAGAATGACTAGACTTTTCAATGATGAATAAATGTTTTGGTTAATGTTATGTTAAAATCTCTTGAATGCTTCATTTTAACTGTATTTGAGAAAGAAATATTTGCCACCAGCTGATTTGTCATTGTGAAGCCGCTTTTAAAGTTTCTCTCCAGGAAAAATACTTGAAAGTTTATAACTTAATATATTGGAATAGTGGTATTGGGAGTTAAGGCTTTTCAAATTTTACAATATATATTGCAAGAATATTAATGAACTTTTTAATGTAAAACAAGTTATTTTAAAGTATCTTTTGTAAAGTGGATCTCTGCTTTTAAACCTAAGGAAAGGCCCCTCTTTTTAAAAGGGGGAGATCTTTGGAGAATAATTGCCTGTTGTTGTCAGGCTGTTTTTTTATAGCCTCATTTTGTACTTTGTAATCCATTAACAGAAATTCTCTAAAGTATCAACATCTGTTCTAAAGATGCATGATCTTGACATACAGAAAATTTTAATTTGTTTTTCTGGCCTTTTCTCTTAATTCATGAAGATTATAGATGCTTGCCCCACTGTATTTTTTGGATTAGAGACAGAAGAATTAAAACAGAAGGATTTCAAGAGAAGAAAGATGTTAGCTATTTGCTAGGCATGTGCCCTACAGGACTTATTAGCATTTAAGTGGGGCAAAGTGCATCTGCCTGTATTTACATGCATTGTATTGCCTACCTTCACAGCTGAACTATCAGCAGAAAGTAGGGATCATGTACTGCAAAGCTGGACAGAGCACCGAAGAAGAGATGTACAACAATGAATCAGCCGGCCCGGCCTTTGAGGAATTCCTTCAGCTGTTGGGAGAACGAGTTCGGCTCAAAGGATTTGAGAAGTATCGTGCACAGCTTGACACCAAAAGTAAGAAATACTTACACCCTATTACTAGGTTTATGTTCCTCCTGCTGTGTTGATGTGCATCTGCTAAACTGTCCGTAAAATAACATTGCCATTTATAACAGAAAACTGCTGTTGATGGGAGAAAGCCAGAGAGGGAAGATGTTGAACCAGAACAGTTGAAGATCATAATCAAAGTAGCTAGGATTGGACTATAAAAAAAATACCGTTATCAGTGGTGTGGACGGAGTAGGGGAATGGACTCAGATCATGCAGAATTGCTCATAGATAGTTGCATAAATTTTATTACATTTAGCTGAATGTTAGGGTGATTAAAAACTCCAGAAACTCGGGCTGGCCCGGTGGCGCACTGCTACAGTGCGCCG